AAAAAAAAAAAAAAAGGCCTTCCCGTTTTCTCACATCTTGAACTCATTTCATGGAGCCTTTCAAAGAACTGAAGCGGTTGCCGTCTTGCATCACTCACTTGTCAACACACCCAAGCAACATTACATAACCCACATTTCAGGGGAGAAAAATTCCATTAATCCTTTTCTTTCCCCTTTGTTCGAATACAGTATCTTATAAATATGGAAAGAAACTTGACCGACAAAAAGCACTCGGGGGGGCACACAGGGGTGATGAGCTCTTTATAAGTTGGACAAAAGGTCTTTAGTTTCCATTGGCTTTTTCCCCTGACAAAGTCAAGTTGGTTTATTCAAACCCAAAGGGGAATTTGTGGCACGTTTCAACTTTTCCCTTTTATTCTGATGAGTGCAGGGGTGGTCATTCTTTTTTTTTTTTTTTTTTTTTTTGGTGGGTCATCAAAAGTGAAAAGGAGCTATTGTGAAGCTCTGGCAATGGTCATCTGAAACATTCTTCATACTCAAAGAGTCCCAAAGCCGCTCATGATTGGATTTCCTTTTGCACCAAATTCAATTGGCGGAGGGTGTAAATAAATAAATACATAAAAGAAGAAACCATGGTTACCTCCTCACACTCTGCTCCTTGAAACACGACCAGCCCATCACATTCTCGACACTTGGAGAAGGCTCGAAGTTTTCTCAGCTTGTGCGTTTGAGCAGCTTTGGACATCTGTGTGTTTCTAAAAGGACGTGGAGAGCTGGCCGTCTCGATTAAAAGATCCCCTAAACCTGAAACGTGTGCAACATAACAACTGAGTAATGCACGTTCAAAATGCTCAATCGACATTTGCGACTGTTTAGCTGTTACGCACCGTTATCGGAAGGAGAGTTGGGCTCATCCAGGTCATCAGCGGACGACATGGTGCCGGTCGAGGGGGACCTGGGTAATCTCCTTTTAAAGTCTCCTGAACAGTGTGACAGGACACACCAGTCAGTCCACATTTCTGCAGTCAATTCAAACCGATTCAAGCCAACTTTCTTTGGCACTTCCATACAACAAACGAATGACATCCAACAGGCGACATTCAAGTCACGCTGCGGTCGAACTTCAAATGGAGGTTCACTGCTTGCCAAGTGGAATGAAGGCTGTCGAGTACAAATGAATATTTGCTATCTTTTTGATGGCGACTGAGATGCCGGCGTGTCTTCACCTGGGCTCGCAGTGGGTGAGTCCATGGATCGGGACTCGCTGCTCCCTCCTACACTTTCAGAGTCGCTACACATTCCTCCACCCTGACTGGAATTCCAGGTACGAATCCGAAGTGCTGGTCATCAAAAAAAAGATCATTCCGAGATCAGTGACGTTCGCCATGTTTGCCAACGGCAGTGTCGTGTTTTTTTGTTTTTTTTTCTCACTCAACCCAAAATCACAATAAAACCTAATCATCAGGATCGGAAATACCTTGGATGTCAGTAGTGCTGTTGGAGCGTCGCTCCGCAATCTTGGCTTGCTGGGTGCTGTTGGACCCGTCATGATCGTCTTTGCCAAGGAGGTCGGATGTCATGGATCCTTGTGACAGGTTGATGTGGGAAGAGTGACTGCCACTTATTGTGTACTGGCTGAGAGGCATTCTGGCAGAGGAGATGACGCATTGAAAATGATACGATGTCTGTCATACGAAAGGAGCAAGAAGAATATGTTTCGTTCCAACAGGTCCAAAATAAATAAGACGCTCAGGCAGTATCAGGGAAGTATAAAGAAGGGTTTCTCATATTTTCTGAGGAGTCCAAACATTCGCTGATTGTCAAATAGTGCAGCTTTCAAGTGACATATAAGCCAGGCAAGAAGCCTGAAGAAAGCAGGAGTCACCATTCGGCTCAGTCATTCACACCATTTGTTTTGACAGTTTGTAGGCCAGATGTCCTTTCCTGGCTCAGTGTATAAAGAAGGGTTTCTCATATTTTCTGAGGAGTCCAAACATTCGCTGATTGTCAAATAGTGCAGCTTTCAAGTGACATATAAGCCAGGCAAGAAGCCTGAAGAAAGCAGGAGTCACCATTCGGCTCAGTCATTCACACCATTTGTTTTGACAGTTTGTAGGCCAGATGTCCTTTCCTGGCTCAGTCTTACAAATGATTCGGGTGTGGGACCAACACAAAAGAGCTCTAGCAACGGGCGACGTGATGCGGTACTGGCTCGGAATCCGACACGACACACAATGTCTCACCCTGTGCTTGATGAAAAAGCTGAATCCAAAAAGTGGGACTCGGGGGGCAACCTCCGGACGAACTCAACATAGCGATGCCCAGGCTCGTACAGTTTGGCATTTTCACAAAGACTCTGGTGCCTGGCAGGAAGTGACACAAGCTGGGCCTGCTGGAGCTGGAACCAATTGACCGTGACCTTGAACAGAGAACGTCATTCTGCTGTCAGGTGCCGATCGAATCATATTCCGCATACGACGGACGTTATGTGCGGGACGTTACCGACGCTTCAAGATGAACTTGACCAAAGAAACATTTTTTAGACATACCGCTTTCAGGGTGAGGTCGCATTGGAAGACCATCTTTCGGAGCTGAGTGATGATGTCACTCTTGGTGTTAGCCAGATCGACTCTTTTTTCCACCACGTCATTCTGACAAGCTTCGCGGTGTGCCCTCGCTTCGTCAGCCTGAAGCGGAAGGAAGACGAAGGATTCTCGAGTCGGGCTCAAAATAATGCTGCTGCTCGTGTGTTGACGACACATTCGTGTGATCAACCAACCTTCTGCAAGGCCTCTTCTTCCAACCGGCGCCGCTTTTCTAGTTGTTTGACAGCCGTTGCTCCTCCGACTCCTCCCAGCTGCTCCCCTTCCAAGCGGCTGGTCGATACCTTGGCCTTTTCGTACTCCTCTTGACGCTGATCCTGCAGCATCCGGGCCTTTTTCAGAGCGCTGTCGGCCTCGTGCTTGAAATGCAAAGAACATTTGGCGCAAAGCGGAATGAGCGAAAACTGTACCAGCACAAAGTGCACCGTAACGTGTGTTTGTTTAACGGCTGCAGATATTTTCACAATTTCCAAAGGCGTTCATTTACCAAACCTCTGTTGTAAATTTTTTGACACACCGTAGATAAATTACCATTTTCTTTTGCTGTCTCTGCCACTGCTCCTTCATCTCTTTTCCCAGTTTGTCCAATTCATTTTTTCGCGTCATCAGCGGCTAGATCAGAGAAAAAAAAAAAAACAACTTAGACCACGTTAGCGCGGTTGCGTCCGTGAGTCACCAAAAGTCAGAGAAGGCAATGGGCTTTGTGGAATTACCTGCATAAATTTGTTGCTTTGGAGCACCGCCGTGGTGTTCAGTATGAGCTTGCTGTATTCAACGTCATTTTTGAAAGCAGCCATGTAGATGTCACGGAAAGGCATGAAATCCTTGAGCGGAAAGACCAGATAAGAGGAGATGGTCAAAACCAACATGGTGCGTCTGAATATAAACTGCACGTTCTTGACTCACCTGCTGACTTGCGAGGGTCTTTGCCGATTCAGCCATTTTGTTGTAGCTCTTGGCCAACTCGACATCTGTAAATACATCCGATATGCTGCGTATTAACATGATGTGGCAATATAGAGAGAACAACCTGCCCTTCATTGGGCTTGATTGTAGAAATTAAAACTTTATTTTTTTTATTGCAAAGAATAACAGGAAAGCCCACAGAGGCATTTATTTGCTTGAAATAAAGTCAAGCAATGACCTTGAATCATTCATCGTCCAATAAACCATTAGCCACAGAGGATGCGTTAAATAAACATTTTGTCGGTGTGCCGGATAACGCGTACATTGTACCACTTTACAGAGGGCCCTGTGTCACCGTGCTGACTGGAAGAATGACTAAGTGTGACAGAGAAACCATTCATTAACCACCCCGCAAAATAAAAGCCACACGCTGCATTCTCAACCTTGAACATGCAGCACTTTTGAGCGCAGCTTAGGCGAGGCCACAATGGAAAAACATACCAACAAATTGACCTCAAATTCCTCTTCCAATTTTTAATATGTTGTCCAAGCAGTATATGTCTAGATGGGATTGAGAAATAATAGGGGTTTAAAAAAAAGTAATTTCCTTATGGGGAATTATGAAGTATAATGCATCTACCTATCAATTTTGTTTTTAAGAATATGCTAGATGTATTCCTGAAGAAATTCTGCTATAATAGGCACCTGTGGTTATTTTTAGAGCTTGCACTTTGAGCTAATATTGCATTTGAGGACATACAATTTGCAGAATAGGAACTTAAGAAGGTAAGGAAAAGACCGATAGATCGAAAGTCCAACTCGGCCAGCTATGTTCAGCGCCTATCATGCCACCTCCCACGATAATACCGGCACATTTGGGCTTCTGTGGCACGGCGGCAACATGAAACACTCACAATTACCCATCCAAGCCGCAAGCCTTCCTTGACTCACCCATATTAAGACGTTTCTCCACCCACCCCAGCACTTCTTTGGTGTATTTGGACCAGGCCTTGGCGTAGCCAAGTGCCGACTCCACCCCGTTGACGTGCTGCTGCCGC